TGCTTTGTCACGTTTACAGGTTTCGAAATTCCGCGAGCTGGCGCCGGCGGGCGTGCAGATTTATCCCTCGGTGATTCCCGCCCAGATTCTTCCACACAGTTGGCAGATATAACTTCTAGTCTGCTACGAGCGAGTTTGCAGCCACCGTCAGTTCCGCCGTTCCCCGCGCGTTATTTACCAAGTTTTTATCAATGCTTTTTCGCGGCTGTGGTCTTGATACCATGAAGTATAAATAAAGGCCACAGTTTCCGTACTGGCGCAGCCACTTTTGCGGCAGAGTGCGGTTTTTCTGATGCCCAAATTCGTGCTATGGGGCGCTGGCGATCCGATGCATTCCTCAAGTATATTCGCATACCAAGCTTAAGTTCGGCTTCGTCTTAATTGCGACTGACTGTGGCTGCATTCTTGTGTTGTGAGGCAAACGGTTAGTAGTAGGCCACAAATATATGTCTAGTTAATGAATAGCACATTTAACGCATGATAACACTTGTCTAGCTGATGCAGGGGCTAGGCTGGCGAGGCTTTGTTAAGGATTCATCAGGTTTCAGCTTGTGTAGTTTTTATAAGGTACTTTGTTGCCTATCCGTGTGCTGATGCAGTGGCTAGGTTCATGGTCGGCTTCAGAGTTCTAATTTACTGTCAGTGCCATACGTCTATTATTAAATTTATACGTTCAGTAGTGGTATTTTAGGTTACACTCTTATGAGACTTCGCTGATTATTTGTGATATCATGAGTGGCCGTTTGCCTTGCTTTCCCGATTTATATCAATTTAGTCCATCGGCTAGCTCTGGCGACGATTTCTCTGATGATTGAGTTGCCTCCATACAGGGCACATTTGGGGGAGGCCACTATATTTTAATGATAAGATCTAAAAAGTCGGTCCCAAAACCTGAATGGGACGAAAAAGTCGGTCCGGCTAATATCTGAAAGATATTATCATTTTGTGTCGAAAAAAGTAATAGGTGGACATTCTGGAAATGGAAGTTGCATAAACATAAGAAAGACGAATTAGACAAAGAAAAACGAATTAGACATACACAAATTAGAGTTCACTGACACAAACCAAGAGAGCAACTAATCAACTTCCATGTTACAACAGTTCAACCAACGTAATGCGATCCGATTACCTCAAGCCCCCGCGGTGCAGTTAATATGTGCATTGTTAGTCTTGTCGTAAAAGCGGAAACTTTGGAAGGCAGAAGTATATCAGCGGCGTAGCCAAGATGGGGGCTCGGGGGGTTCTGCAATGGGCATAAGGACTGCCCTTGTGGAAAGCTGAAATCCGGGCAGAAATTGGGGTGGGGGTACGATGTGTGAATAATGATACCCATCTCTTCTGTTTGCCAATAAAAGTTGAAGTCTTCCCTACCTAGAATCCTAACTCCAGTAAAAAATGCTTATGGTTGCTTTGAAGCACATTTGAACTTGAATTTGCGCTCAAGGCGATACTCATGACCGACTTCTACAAAAACGAAGACATGATGCTATTTTGCTGTTGTATTTGCGTGTACAATACTATGTTTTACATAAATATTTTTTCGATCTAACAACATTAGGCGACTTAAAAATGTCTTTTTGTGGTTGTAACTTTTCTTCAAACCTCGTCCTAAAATACGTGAAATAGCGTTCTAATGAATCTAGAAATTCAAAATTTTCCTCGCGCCTACGGCGCTCGCATTCGAAATTCATAAAAATTTTGTCCCCCCCCCCTTCCAAAGGTTTAGACCACTGCAAAAGTTCGGTAAAAACTGAACGTTTATTGAAACTCTATACATAAATATTTTTTCGATCTAACAACATTAGACGACTTAAAAATGCCTTTTTGTGGTTGTAACTTTTTTTCAAACCTTGTCCTAAAATACGTGAAATAGCGTTCTAATGAATCTAGAAATTCAAAAATTTCCTCGCGCCTACGCCGCTCGCATTCGAAATCCATAAAAAATTTGCACTCCCCCCTTCCAAAAGTTTAGACCACTGCAAAAGTTCTGAAAAACTGAACATTTAAACTGTTGGAATACTATCCCCGTCTTACCGTCTATGCGCTTTAAATAGTTGGCTTTTCTTACCAAACACAAATACTACAAAAGTCGGTCCCAGAACATAGGACACCCCCCCCCAATCTTTTTTGAATGTGCGCCCCTGTTTAGTCTTATTATAAAAACTGAACTTATATCGGAATTGGATTATAAAAATTGTATAAAATCTGGCACTGAAATAATTGTGCATCTTAGTAAACCTTCTTGGCCTTGTTCAGGTTTAAAAATATCCTCAGTTTAATCTCAGTAACACAAATGATGCCCAACGCCATGTTTGCAAACCTGTATTTGTATATATTGTATTATTTATCACAAAAGATGCCGCATGAATGCATGATGTACTAAAGCGACACTAGACTTGCATGCATACACTGGCATGTCTGTTTGGTATTTGCTTTGAGGCAAGTGACAATATAAATTTCTATACAACTCACATGTAAACTACGGCGTAAAAGTTTTTGAAATTGAAATAGTGGGCCAGTGTGTGATATATACGTGTAAGAATTTCCTTACGTCAATCTGCGCACATATATTTATAATCATCTGTTCAATATGCAAATTCCACACAATTAGGAGTAAATATGTTATGTTTTGCTGTAATTATAGAAGCGTAATATACTAGTCGAAAAACGCAAGCAGCATCAGGGCCAGATTACATGGAGCACTTTCAACCCCGGGGTTGAACTCGGACCTGGGTTGAAAATTGTGTCATGTAATCGTGCGTTTGATTTTGATAGAGTTTTCTGGGACACCGGTCAACAAGGCTGAGTTCAACCCCGTGGTTGAAAATGCTCCATGTAATCGGCCCCTTAGAGATTCCTAGGCCTGAAAAAATCCCAACAAATAAGAGCAAGACGTTAATTAATGTGAGGCATGTACGTATAAATCCTCGAACTGTATAGTTAAATCCTTAACAAATATTTCGGCATTAAAATAACAGAAGTCTGTCGGCATGCAAACCCAAACAAATACCTTATAATAAAAACAAATTATTTGATAGCATGCAAGACGAGCATTATACAGAGGAAATAATTTGATTTCCGCCATCTCAACAGCAGAGCAGCCTGAGCAGCCACCCTGTGGGCCATAGCCGTGAAATAGAGCATGATTTGGCCGTATAATATATGGACCAAATATTATAATGAGTTTAATAGACATAAAATACACTTAAACTGGACAATAGTCACAATATTTGTCAATATTAGGTCAGGTTTTATGACAACTGAACAGCATCAGGGAAAGATTTATCGCTGTATGTACATTTTTGGCCGCCAGACATACTGTATCCACTGACTTCCTGTAGTTTTTGATAAAATGTTAACTTTGAATGAGAAACATCTGTGTTGCCGTTTATATTTTCGGATGTTTCTCCTGTTTCAAGAATCAAGGTAGATTATTTTTGCCTTGAAATAATGTACGAAAATATGATACAAGTCAAGCGCGTGCTATATGGAGTAATAAGGAGTATTACTATTATCGTTATTAATGAAGCTCATAATAGTATACTTATATATGCTTCAGGGAATCATATAGAACTCACAAGGGCAACATAGTTGCTGTTAATGAAGCATATCTATGTTATATCTACCATTTCCATATCATTGCGGAGTTAATAAAAAAATGTTTAGAATCAAGGTAATAAGCAATGCATTATAAGAGCGAACAACAGTCAAAACACATTATGCTAATAACGCTATTTAATAATACACAATAACAATTTGATAGTAGGCTATTGACCATTTGACATAATCTACATAGTTTAAAATAGAATGGCTGTAACCGCTTAATATCAAATACAGTATTGGTTATAATTATGGAAACTACTTCGGAAATTTAAACTAAACAATTGTTTTAGAAAAGAACTAGAATAAACATAAGCATGGAATTCCTCAATATATCACTAACTAAACCAAGTTTAAGCATAATAATGTATCATATTTCAAAACTAAGCTTTTATACAGCTGAATTCCGCGATTTATCAATGTTGATTGCAATGTTCAAATATGAAACACCTACTCAATAGTTAGGCCTATCTGTTTTGTACAAGTGCAATTTGTCGGCACACTAGCAGTGTCTGTGGTCCGAAATTTCAACATTAACATGCATATATAATTATATGCACATTGTTGCAGAGTATTATGTTGGTGTACTAATGTGTATGGCAGTCTTCGAAACACTTAGGTTTACGTCTGCTCTAGCTTGAAAAAAACAAGAGGAAAATTTCAGTATTTCAGTCAAAGACATCCATTTTCGATGGTATACATTGATATTGTGGTATACATTGATATTGTATAGCTGATGCTGGTAACACTCCAGTGGTCCCGCAATATACTGTAACAAACATGTGTTGTATGAATATACTCGCCAATGTTCAAGTAAATAAAACCGCTGAAGCTATGGAACTTTTAGGCTATATCTGAGTCCAGCCCACACAAGAGGACATGAGTAGTCGCTGCATGTTTCGCGAGAATACATTACATTCAAAGTTAGTATAATGCTTTTAAAGCATTGAGCATTTGAATAAAAGCTGTCTTCTCGAAATCCTGTTAATGAAATATTCTGTAGTTCTCAAATTTAAAATCATTGATAATTTTGGGTATGATTTAACTTGAGAAAAACTATAGAGACTAGTACCATGTTTTGATCGAGGGCACTTTGCCAATGTCAATGGCTGACGCTTTGTTCCTAATAGCAACACATGTAGCTATATAACCTCTATCTAGGTCTAAAATACGACGCATAAAAATAACTCGCAGTTCTCAAATGCAAAATCTTTGATTATTTTGTTTCAAATGTAGCCTAAAAAACACAAGCGGAGAATGCGGTCTGATGTTCTGAGGAACAGCACATTGACAGACAGCATCGTTGAGACTATATGGTCCCGTATTTAGCAACATTTGTATAATAATCGACACATTAGCATGCTTATGGTCTAAAAATACTGTATTTAATGAAACACTTACATCATCATCACCACCACGTTTTGCCCGTCGATCTACAAGCAAGAAAAATACATGTCAACATACGATCTTCAAATATTTCCTTTGTACTATAAAAGTCGCGAAATTTTAGACTTACCGCTCATCTTTTAACAGTTTAAATGTCAAATATCTTCAACACGAGGTATATTAAGGCAACTGTTTCGAGTTTGTCAACGCAAGAATGACTAGAACTCCGAGCGCTTAGCAATGCTAACGACGAACAGCTAAAGGCAAGGCCCAATCTCGGGAGAACCACGAAGGAAATGACAAATAGCTCGCGTTCCGATAGTTCAAGTCCTGCTGTGGATTCAAGATTACTGTTTAATTTTCAACTCAATGTGTATAGCACCGCCTACTGTGACAATAACATTACAATCGATTCTGTTTCGAAATTATAACTCCATTCATGAGTAAATGGAAAATTTTATAGTTAATACACACACTATTTGAAGTCGTAAACTGCCTACAATGATTTATTTAAAGATATTTTTGCAAGAAAGTGGGCAAAATTATAACATACAAGCTCAGGTTGTTTGATTTAGGCGTCAAACACAATGACACCGTAGACAATGTCTATCCGTAAAGCTATTCGCTGATTGGTTAGTTTTCACAATGTATTTCATAGCATATTGATATGGTCTGTCGCTCTGAAGCAAAATCTTGACTAGTTAATTCCTGTTATGGATTACTACAAGAAATTAAGACTAACATAGCCCTAAAATATCATCTATGCAGAATTTTTGTCAGTATAAAGTGCTATATAAAAATTTCTGCATCAAACAGTGCCAGATAAAGGCCCCTTTTGAATCAGCTGGCTGAGGCAATTGAACTTGATAGCTTGACTCTTAGGAAGTTATCAGATATGCAATATCGACATATACACTTGATTTGATAATATAATTATCAAGCTAAATATTTCAGATGGATTTCTTTCTGCTGAGCGGTGTACTGAAATATGAAGACTGTAGAAATTTAGATACTATAAATTAAGATACTATATTAATATAGCTACTAATTTAAGATATTAAAACATTCAAAGAAACATTACGGCATTCTGCCAAAATTTCTGAGTTTACGATACAATATATATATATATATATATATATATATATATATATATATATATATATATATATATATATATATATATATATATATATATATATATATATATACCCGATGTAGTGATTCTGGACTGTATATAACCTATATATGTAAGCCTACAGTATGCTATAACCTCGACAGTCAGGATCTTTACTTCCCTTGCGACTTGCGAGCCTGACTCGTTACAATGATTATTCTAAAGATTTCACCGTGAATCGCCAAATATACAGTATTTACTCGTTTAAGCGCTCTATAAATGTTAGCTGTATTTACAAAATATTTACTTTGTAAACGATAACAAAGAATGTTTGCCACAAAAAAAAACATATAAAAACACTGAAATACTCCAGGCTAATCACGTACAAAGCCGTACAATTGGCTCTGGCCACTCGGGTTGAAAAATTACCAGTGATTGGTCGATCTCATCCTCTCGTTCGCAGGGCTTCACAATCTCATTTCCCGAGCCAATCTCGTTCCCGTTGTATGCCCGTTCGCAGGTTAAGGGTGGGCATACAAAGTAATTCGAATTTCTCGGCGTCGAAAATTTGATACTTTTCTCACTGAAATCGATTGAAAACAACTAAAAATTCTGGAAGAAATATGTACGAAAGGCTCGGATTGATAGGGATACAACTACCTGAAAAATACAAGGAGCACTTCGACGTTTCGAGCGAAGGCGCTTCGACTTCATGTACCGGTTAGTGTTTGCATACATCGCTCTCTCCTCCGTAGAGACAGAGTCTTTTAAAGAATATGAAATTCGAAGGCATTGAAATTGCGCTAGAAGGTATCTGGTATGAAGACAACCGCTGAAAATCGGTGTGCGGGCGAGGGGAAGAGAAGGAACTGAATAGCGGAAGCCTCTGCCAGATTTATGTCGATACTGTTACAAATTGGCGATATCTGTAGCATCCGTATATTATTTCAACAATCCTTTTTGTTTTAAATTTTATTTGATAATGTGAAGACATTTTGGATAAAGATCTGTTGGCCAACATATATATTTTGGTATAATATTGTGTTGATGAGATTGAATGAATGAAAATAATAAATAGTTTTGGCTGAAGGAAACTTTATGGTCTAATCAGTAACCCAAACAACTTTGCTGCCTCTTTCTCGTTTGAACAACACAACACCATGCTCTCACCATCGCCTTCAACATCAAAAATCTTGTAATTTTCAAAATCCTATATTAAAACACACATTCATTGTAAAATCAGCAATTTAAAGTATAAAGCCGAAAAAAATTGTAACTATTATCATCGAATTCTGTGCCTCAGTGTCTAATTCGGTAATGTTTTTTGAAGGTCTACTTGACTAAATATATCTGTTGTTTGTGAACCACAGACAAGCACAACACGTTTTCTTGCTCCGCAAAGCCAAAATAAATTTTATAATATATAATTCATACGCAAATGAGGCACTGAGCCATTTTGCCAGACTGCTCGAGAATTTGCACGAGTTCTCCTCCCCCCGGTTTAACGAGATATTGGGACATAAATCGAACAGAGGCTTCTGCTATTTTTTCCTTCGCTTCCCCACGCCCGCGCACCGATTTTCAGCGGTTGTCTTCATACCAGATACCTTCTAGCGCAATTTCAATTCCTTCGAATTCAGTCATATTCTTTACTGAAAAGCCTCTGCGGAGGAGAGAGCATACATCGTACTTGATCTTTTATACTGTCGGTATTCATGATAAATATGATCTCCTCAAGATTGAGAGAATGTTTGCTGGGAAGTGTGGACTTAACACTACGTATACCACAATATAAATTCTAACAGGAGAGTAAAATATAATTTTTAAAGCGCATATAAGTATTGGTTATTTTGAGGCAACGAGGGGATATGTGATTTATAATAATATTTATGATAAACACATATCCCCGAGGTGCCTCAAAATAACGTACTTATTTTTTCACATTGCGAGGTCGCGTTAATGAGTCAGAATATAGAAATAATTCTTAATGCCATATTGCCTTCATGATGTTGCCGGGGTTTTTCAGTCTCATTTTTTTGTGCTGCAAAAACATTGTCACATTGCAGATGAATATTAGAGGGGATTACTAGAGGGGAATATTGAATATATTCCCCGATAAGAACAAAGAAAACCGAGCAGGGTCAAAAATAAAGTATATTAGAAGCAACGTCAATAATCCTTTAATTTAGAATAGAAATTTAAACCTTTAGTCCAGTTTTAAAGACATCAGCCGCAGGTCCACACTTCACAGAAAATATCTATCATTCTTGAGGAGATTATATATATTTATCAGTAAAGGTCCAATGCGATGTATACAAACACTAACAGTACAAGTCCAAGCGCCTTCCCCGCTCGAAACGTCGATGTTCACCTTGTATTTTTCAGGCAGTTGTATATCCCTATCAATGCGAAATTTTCGTACATATTTCCCCCTGAATTTTAGTTGTTTTCAATCGATTTCAGTCTAAAAAGTATCAAATTTTCGACAAGAAATTCTCAAATTCTCGGGAACCATTCTTAGTTGTGGGGTTGCCATTTTATACAATCCTACTTATGATGTTGTCAGTTGCTCTCGTGACCAAGATGGCCAGCTTTTGTGCGCAGAGTTTTCCAAGGATGGTAATTTGATCCAGTTGCTGAACATATATGCTCCAAATACCACAAAGCCGGCGTCTACTTTCTTTGAATCATTATATCAAGTGCTTGATCCCGACACCCCGACGGTGTTGTGTGGCGATTTCAATACTGTGGTGGCTCCGATCAAAGACCGTTTTGGTTGTAACTCGCAATCACCCTCGGCGTATAATTGGTCAGTGACTTTGCATCACTTAATGTCCACGTATGATTTGCACGATGCATGGCGTACAATTCATCCAAATGCTCAGGAGTACTCTTGGCATCGCCCCAACGGCCGTCAAGCCTCGCGAATAGACATGATTTGGCTTTCTGCCTTGCTCTTGTCCTGTGTCAAGCGTGTCAACATCCTTTCCTTTTTCCGCTCCGACCATTCCACTGTATATTTGGAGCTTTGTCTTCTGTCCGCCACCCATCATGGAGATGGTGTTTGGAAGTTGAATACTCGGCACCTTTCAGATGAGTCCTTCGTTAAACTTGTGTCGGACTTTGGTCAAGTTGGAGAGTGTATAAATCTTCTTTCTTGTCGCTTACTGCGTGGTGGGATGCAGGCAAAGCGCGACTAAAACAATATATCCGTGAATTTTCTAAGAAGAAAGCTGTCAGCCGTCGAAAGCTCATTACATTGTTAGAGCATACCTTATTTCATTTCAACGGACGTCTGCTCAATGGTGACGAGGTCCTTCCAATCATTGAAGATGTTAAAAGTGAACTGGAGCCTGCTCATCGAGATGAAGCGGGAGAAGCCCGTATTCACGCAAACGTTCAATGGGCAGAAGAGGAAGAAGCCTCTATACCAAGTATTTTTGTCGGTTTAGAACGTAAACGTGGTCAACACAGGATCTTTACTTCAGTTAAAATCATGGCCGGCACGGTGGTTTCTACCTTCGTGGGTATCGCTCGGGCGTGGGTGGCCTTTTATGGTTTACCATTTACATCGCAGAGCCTAGATCGAATTGAACAAGACTTCTTCTTGAATTCTTTGTCATTGAAACTGTCCAGAGCTGAACAAAGTTTGTGTGAGGGGGACTAATTGAGGGGGAATGCAAGAGAGCACTGGATGCCATGGCTACTGGTAAATCTCCGGGCCTTGATGGACTTCCAGATGAGTTCTATCAACGTTTTTGTTCGCTTCTCGGAACTTATTTTGTCGATGTCATTAATTTTGCTTATAATCATGGACAATTTTTCCCCTCGCAGCGATCTGGGGTTATCACGCTCATCCATAAGCGTGGGGATCGTCTTGATATGAAGAATTGGCCCCCCATTACATTATTATGCGCGGACTATAAAATTGTTGCCAAAGCTATTGCCAATCGTTTGTTGGGTGTTATTGCCAAGGTAACTCATTCGGATCAAACTTGTGGGGTGGCGGACCGGAATTCGTTAGAAAGTGTTCGTTTGCTGAAGGATGTGGTTTTTCATGCCAATCAGAATCGTAAAGCAGCTGCAATTATTTCGCTGGACCAGGAGAACGCGTATGATCGGGTAGAATGGGGGTACTTATCCCGTGTATTGCAGACTATGAATTTTGGTCAATCCTTCCAGAAATGGGTACTTTTATTATATTCAAATATATGTTCCTATATCCTGATCAATGGTGAAACAACTGAGTTTTTCTCTGTCTCTCCGGGTGTTCGTCAAGGCTATCCCTTATCCCCTTTACTCTACGTATTGGTGGCGGAAACATTAGCTAGTGCAATTCGTGCGGATCGTTTCATCGATAGTTATATCTTACCAAATGGCCGGTCTGTTAAGCTATGTCAATACGCTGATGATACATCTGCTATCGTAACTACGGACTTGGCATTGAATGCTCTGTTCCGTCACTTCCATTTGTTCACAAGATACGAGAAGGCGTCTGGGGCTAAATTAAATGTAACAAAATGTCATGGGTTGTTGATTGATACATGGCAATCTCGTTCCAATCTACCAATTGCTCTGAATTGGTCCAATGTGGAAATCATTGTTCTGGGTTCTCGTATCTCTAATGATAATGAAGAACAATGGGAGTCAAGGATCAAGGCCTCGAAGACTACTTTGTCAGCTTGGAACCGGAAAGCGCTTTCCTTTCGCGGACGCGCTCTCATTGCCAATATGCTGGGGCTGATTACTCTCTGGTATCTATGTTCGTTTTCTGTAATACCTGAAGCAATCATTAAAGCTGTCAATGGGGAGATTTTTCCGTTTGTATGGCGGAAGAAACGAGAGTGGCTGGCTCGCTCCTCAGTCACACAACGACCTAATCAAGGGGGTTTAGGTGTGGTGGATGTCCATCGTAAGATGTTATCTCTGCATGTTTTATGGGTAAAGAGGCTTATTTTTCGTTCCAACTTGCCGTGGACTAGTTTCTTTTCTCAGTATCTCATTCGCGCATTCCCTGGTCGCTCTGTTCACCAAATTTTGATTTTGGCGGTACCACCGAAATATTCTATGGACGCTTTCCCTCCGCTTTATCGATCTGTGATGACGGCTTGGTTTGCTCTGGAACGGAGGTTTGTGGACAATGAATACGTCATTTGCGGTCCTCGGTGGTCATGCTTGAACAGCTCTCGGCAAGTTTCGTCTATGACACCCTGTCTCACCAACATCGTAAGCAACATCGATGCGTCGAAAAGTATGCGAATTGGGGTCTTCCAGTCGATTGGTCAAATATTTGGTTGTCCATTCTTCTCTGGCGTTTCATAAGACCTGTTCGGGATACTTCCTGGCTGATTGCGCATGGTATTCTTCCTACCGCCGATCGTTTGCTGCCTCATCCAACTTTTTACTGACTGTCCATTTGCTATTCAACTTATTGACTGGTATTTTTCTGTCGATAAACGTTTCCGACCACAGTCCCAACGTCCTTCTAAATGTGATCTTCTTGTTGGTTATGGCAAGAATGTAAAGGTACCTCCCGTATTTCCATGTTTGTTGGTAATTATTCGCCACCACATTTGGTTAACCAGGAATAAAGCCAGGTTTGATAAGTGATACCGCATTACCCTACGGTCCTATCGCGTGTCAAGTCTGCCTTACGATGTGTGATCCGTGTTCAGCAGCGTCATTGTTTGCCGGCCAATTTCTCCGATTTCTGGTTGGCGAGTGGTGGTGTCGGAGTTTGTCCGCTGGGGACATTATTGTTTTTGCGGCGGAGTTTCGCGATTAATGTGTCTAAATGTTTCTCGGAGGCGCGGTGGTCGCCTTCATTGGTTGATACTGCCGTTGTCTTTTGAGATATGTTGGTATCTATCTCTCTGGGCACGGGGATCGCCTTCATTGGTGTTGTCTTCGTTGTCATTTGAGTTGTGTTAATACTCATGTCATTCAATGTTTTTAAACTTCGGCCTTTTTGGCTGTTGTTTATGATGTTTTAATTGTGTTATTTTGTTGATATGTCATGTGGCCTGTAATGTTGTTTTGTTTTGTTTTGTTTTGTTTTGTTTTGTTTTGTTTTGTTTTGTTTTGTTTTGTTTTGTTTTGTTTTGTTTTGTTTTGTTTTGTTTTGTTTTGTTTGTTTAATAGGCGCAGTGGTCTCCTTTATTGGTGTACTCCTGTGGTCTCCTTTTTGAATTAATGTTGACCTGTGGTTTGTTCGGACTTTTGTTCGGTAGGTTGCACAGGTATCTGGTACACTCGGGGGGTTGTTCATGATGATTCAAACTCAGTTAACATCATTCCCGTCCATCCACTATCATAGGATTAGGGATCCCCGGGCATGACGATGCTCAGCATCTGATTGTTCAGGTCATTCATGTTTTTCTCATGGCACGGGGAAGAGGGTCGTACTCTCTGTTGGTTTGCTTGCTGTGTAGCAACCCCTGGGTGCGGCGATTTCACGGGCTCAGGTTCCATTGCACCGTCGGGACCAGATCAGCAATGATCAAGGCCTTTCGTCGTTCAACTCAAAATAAAACTAAACGCATGCTTTGAGGGAAATAATTAGTGATTAAATGATCCCGCAAACCTCGGGAGATTTAGTAAAAGTAAACCTCCCTCGGTTTGCGGGGTTTGCTTTAATAGCCGGTTTTCATTTCAGCCGTATCGTAACGTACCGTAGCATTTTCTTTTGTGTCGAAGTCATTAGTTCCACTCTAGTGGTCAGGAAACAAAGAAATACGCTACGCTTCGCTACAATACGGTTGAAGTGGAAAACCAGCTCTAATCACTAATTTCCCTCAAAGCATGCGTTTACTTATAATTATAAAGTCGAATGTCTGAGATTTCAACTTTGCCTCAAAATTCAAGTAAGAAATTGCAAATCATTTATTGTTTGTACATGCAGTATATCGACCACCAAATACAATTACAAATTATTTTGACGAATTAGATCTTAGCGAAACTCTTATTTCAGCATTACCTCTTAACAAAGATATATATATATATATATATATATATATATATATATATATATATATATATATATATATATATATTCTGGGCGACATGAATTGTAATATGTTAAACCCTGACGATACTGGATCTCAGGCATTGTCGAACTTTTGTTCCACCTTTAATCTTGACTACCAACTGATTATAAGCAGCCAATTAGGATAACTGGGACCTCAAAAACTTTACTTGATGTTATTTTGGCTACCAATACCGGTTCTGTAAGAAAGACTAAAGTTATACCCAGTTATATAAGTGACCATGATCTTGTTTATGTAGAAATTTATCTAAAGAAGGACCGTGCCAAACCGGTATACGTTACAACTCGTAGCTTTAAAAATTATGATCAAGTTGCTTTTGAGAAAGATATGTGTAAAGTCCCTTGTCAGTCGTCGATGTTTTCGATGATGTGGACGATAAACTGAATGCTTTAACCAGATTCTTGACTTACATGCCCCTGTCAAAAATATAAAAATACGGAATAGCAGTGTTGTAACGAGTCACCTTTAGGTCGAGTCACGAGTCGAGTCGAGTCACTCAAAGGTCGAGTCACGAGTCGAGTCGAGTCATTTCAGTTTCTGATCGAGTCGAGTCAGTGGCTTCACTCGAGTCGAGTCAGCATTTTCACTCGAGTCAAGTCAAGTCATTGGTTTAAGTCGAGTCAATAGCTAGACTTAACTTGAGTCAGGGAATTTTATCAAGTGCACCCACATCCTTGTCCCCAGGGCCTCTCGGCCGCGCGCGTCCTCCCTAGGCCCTGGAACATACGGAACCGGAAGTATAGGTAAACTTGCAGTAGTTTCTAAAGCGCATGGTCTTGAATTGGGACACTCTGGCACCAGTAACAATTTTGAAAGTAAGTATTACGAAGAAAAGAAGTATTTACGTTGACATATGTTGATAGAATACTTTTTCCTAGCTAAAACTGCTCAACTTCTGCGAAATAGGATTTCTCTGAGAAGCCAATCAGATCTCTCGCTTTAGTCGCCTAACCCACAGCCTACTTTTCAACGAGTGACCGAGTGAAAATGGCTGTGGGGACGAGAATGGTCCACCTCACGCTTTTTGTAATGGTTCGCTACCTTAGCTTGCAGTTTGAAACTAGTAATCAAATCTACGTTTTAAGCTAACCATTTTAGTCATGTAATAACAGTATCTGGGCAGCCATAGGCTGTACCAATATCACAGTTCTAGTCAATATTAAGTACAACCACATGAGATGTCTCATCATGCCTGCTGATCGAGTGTAAGTATATACAGCTAGCATAACTTGCAACTGGAGTCAGAATTAACAAAGAATAGACTTTAATTAACCATGCTTTGTAAGTTAATTTGAAATTATATAGCACTTCATAAATACCAAAAATGAAGATAACCGGTCAGAATTAGCATAAGTACAAAAAATTTTGAGACTCCATTTCAAAAAATTAAATCTAAATCACAATTTTGTCATATTTCAAAAACTGTAGGAAGCCACCTTAAGACTGAAATTTTCCCTACCATCTGGAAAATGGCCGAGGTTAGGCCTATCTTAAAGGAAGGCGATCACAAAGTACCTGACCACAACCGTCCTATATCACTTTTACCTATACTATCCAAAGTATGTGAACGAACTGCATTAAATCAATTCCTTCCATATCTTGAATTATATGATCGAATATCTGTGAAGCAGAGTGACAACAGGAAATCGCACTCCACTGAAACAACTTTGATACATACCACAGATTGAATGCTATCGATAAACAGAAAGTAACCGCTGTGCATGGTGCTTTTGGATATGAGCAAGGCGTGTGACAGTTTGAATCATATATGGGATATGATTCTTCTAGACAAATTGCAAGATGTCGGCGCTTCGACATCCCCCTTAAAGTGGTTCGAAAATTATTTGTCCAATACGAAACAGGCAGTCCGTATTAATTCTGCAGTCTCTGATTTACTGCCTGTGCTCAGCGGTGTCCCACAAGGCAGTATATTGGGGCCACTCTTATTTACGATATACGTTATACTAAACTGAATTCTAGAATTTAATAAATGATAATTTGTGAATGTCCTCAAATTTTTAGTACTTAAAGTGGCTCCCTACAGTTGTAAAGAAAAAACAGTGAAAAATAAGGTCTTCACAATGACACAAAATATTTGCTATTTACGTGAAATGGGGATTTTTTGGAGTAGAAACGCTTGCGTAATTTTTATACTTCAAACATAATCGTGCGAAAGAAACAAATTGTGTGCTTCTTCGGACTAAAAATGAAATTATTAAACTTTCCTTCGGTCAAAGTTTCTGGAATTTCGTAGGTGTAAAAGGGGATATCTAGTGGAAGATTATATTAAAAAATTGGGGGGGGGGGGGTTATAAATTCAGTTTTTGAGATATTAACTGAATTTTGTTCCACAAAAATTGTTTTATAGAACCTTTTGGAAATTGAGTATGTTGCAATAAATGATTATTATTGACTTGTACTTCTAAAATACAAAAACGATTACAGAAAAACTGACAAGGGAAAAAGTTATTGCATCACAAACCTTGCGCGGTAAATTGAAATTTTTGCTGACGTGATAAATTTTCAATTCGACAAGATCACGTCATTTCGTTACCAATTCCATGCTTAAACAGCCGTAGGGAGACTTTTTGAAAACTTGAGATAACCGTTAACAATCTTGAAAATTAATATAGTTGATGAACCGTGGAGAAACATATATGCTCACACAATTCACTGCACATGCGAATGGATTTAAAGATCTAAATTTTAAATTCGTACTGCAAGTACTATAAACTTAATTAACTTTAATACAAAAAAATGGTGATACGGAACACAAATTTGACAAAGAGCATAATTAAAACTTTAAATAGTAAATGCATTAACTTTTGGGGTGAGGTATTGATAGCACATTGGAATTTGCCTTCACCATGATATGAATCCTTCCTTTAAAACTAAACACTAACAAAGCTGAAGAGTATAATAATAAATGTCATCAAAAACGACATTGTCATACAGTACAATCTTCATTTGATGAAATAATAGGTGGCTTATTTTATCATGTTACAATTGAGTGCTCATGAAGGGCATTTAGACAAAAGTGTTGAAAGTCTGGTGGGACTGCTTGAAGACCACCTATGCATGTGAAATATATATGCTGCATTCTTAACAATTTCATCGCCCAGGTTGACACAAATAGCGTACAAGCAGATTGAAGAACTATGGACTGGTACTACGTACGCCGGAGCAGCTTGCGTGATTCAAGAGGTAATTTTGATTACATATTTTACAACTACAAATATACTAGATCAGTAAGACACAAATATGGCGAATTGGCGG